TTTTTACCATAATAATCATGATTCATTCGATTTGTAACTAGTCATGTTTTGTAAAAAATTTAATTACAAACATTTTTTCCTCTTCCATTTTCGCAAATATGACATTTTTCGAATTTTTTTAACATATTGTGCCGCCAAAAGTTAAACCCACGTTTTTTGTTATGTGCATAGAAAATTTTTTATTTCTAGTGATATTTGAAAGCCAAAAAGCCAAAAATTTCCGTGGATATACGATTCACCCAAACCAAAACAGATACCGCCTAGTCTAATATGATTTTCTCATGTACCTGGAACATTGATAACGTTCTATTCACTTTGTTCAAGGAAGAGGCAATTTGTACGGAATCTCAAAATTATTACCTGCATATGAACCTAATATCCCGAGATTTATTCAAAACTTCCCCGGTAAACAGGTTGTTTACCCTCCGAGAATGTCGCGCGTAGATAAAAAATTTAATTTTCGCCTCACTATGAAAAATTACGCCATCCAGACTTGAAGCTATAGGTAAATATGTCCGATATTATTATGCATTGTATATTCAAATATAGAACTGCTGTTACCTCGAATCATTTCTTCGCGAGGCGATCCATCAACCTACATTACTTTCGACGTGACAAGTCAATTTAAACTCCCTATTAATTATGCGCGCCAGAAATTAAAATGCTGCACTTCCGGACCCGCGCAAAGCGTCGCTTTTTGTCCGCTAAAGTCCCGCGGCCCTCAGGAAATGAGAACAAATCGCTACGGGATGGGTGAGATCCAAAATATATCTGGAAATGACAGGACATTAGCATGAAACAAATTGTATTCCCCAGGCAGTAAGCAAGGAACGAATAAGATGCAATTCTGCGGAAAGAAAAACGGAAACAGACTTCGTTCGGGTCTGATTTGAATACAAATAAGTTGGAGCAGCTGTTGCTCAAAGAGATTCGGGACAGACAGGGACAATTACTTTGTGTATAAATATAAATAATATTATCTTAGCGCTGATAACTGGCCACGGATATTAAAAAGTCTAAAAATAAAAGTGGTTTAATCTCCAGACAGTGCCTTCTTCATCAGCGAAATTTGCTTCGACTGGGTTGATTTGTAGTACATGTTATTCAAATTATACGATTTTATCGACATAGAGCTGTGCCTTGTGCTTACTGGCGAAGAGTAACCTACTAATCTGTAAGTACTACGAAAACACGACTTGTTCCGGACTTGGTAAAATAATTTTTGAGTAATAATATTATGGAAAACAACAACTCCACAGGCATCCCCAAACATAGACTAATTTCAAACTTATTTATTTTTATCAGTATGCCATAGGTGAAACAACCGACAAACAATTTAGCTCTTTGGATTAGTAGATCTTTCTGTGTTTAGTAAATACATAGCAATGCTCTGTGCCAATAGGCGTTAAATAACAGTGATATAAAAAATACGACGTATAGTTTGTAGTTTAAATGGTAGACATATTTTTTTTTTCGCCTGTTTCATACATCGCAACTATTTTGTATTGCTAGCAGGTCAACAAAAATCAATGCCTTGTCACATTGTCACATGTAAATGTTACCAAAGATATTAAAATTTACTTCCATTTGATCAAAATTACTTTCCGTTTTCTTAGATTTCCAACCGACACGAACTGTCAATTCAGAGAAGTTCGTGCTTCCCATGTGGACCAGTTGTTGTATTTATTTGTGTTCGCCGATTGCGTTTTTTTTTAATTTATCGTTAATTTTCTAAATAATCAGTGTTTTTCAGCGCTAATCATCTATGCTGTCAGTTGTGTAGTAAGAAAGCAAATACTGATGGTTTCTTCGATATAAAGTACTCGACCTGTTTTAGATTAGAAAATAGTCATTTCGTTAGAAGACCATAAATTTATTGTAGATGCCTACTTTTGAACGAAATGAAAATGGATGGAATTATTCAATCAATTCATGTTCTTTGCAATTCCAGTAAGTTTCCAAGTAATGAAACCTCAACATGTTCGACGTTTGGTGACACGATTCAGAAACACTGGCAGTGTTTGTAAAGGGAAATCTCTTGGAAGAAAGTCAGTTTTAACTGAAGATAAGCTGGAAAATGAGAGCATTTAACAGCAATCCCCACTATACCATTACAACTTTCAGCTCAGGCGGGTAAATACATGTTTATAAAATGTTAAATATCAGTATTTAAAAATATTAATTATAGGAATGTCATATGTTTCAGTAGACCATGTTTAAGCAACGCACTTATTTCAGAAGCACCCTGTATAGGGTGGCATGGGCTTCGTCCATGGATCAGACCACTTGTTTTTCTACGCCTGTAATATATGAAAAAAAATACCCTATCCCAAAATAGATGACACTTTAAAGAAAAACTTATTTCTTCAAAAAGAAAATTGACGTATTCATAATTAATATATTTTTATTACAAAGACGCTAGCTGCACTACACTCTTTTATAACAATACATCCACCAATCACGTAGCAAAAATCATGTCTCTCAACTCTGTAACGTCCTCTATCATCAGCTCCCNGATGACGTCAACGTATCGACATCCCAGTCCATGGCGTTTGCGCGCGAAGCGAACCGATTAAAACTTTAATATCTAATAACTTTATAAAAATAAATTAATACAACAAAACCTTTACACATTGTTTATAGTATTCAGTGTACATACAAAAACTATTAAAATATTTTTTTCTGCAAGAGGCCTATTGCGTTTTTATTTGAATTTATCGTTAATCTTCTAATTAATCTGTGTTTTTCAACGCTAATCATCTGTGAACTGTCAGTTTTGTAGTAAGAAAGCAAATACTGATGGTTTCTTCGATATAAAGGACTCGAACTGTTTTAGGTTAGAAAATGGTCATTTCGTTAGAAGACAATAAATTTATTGTAGAGGCCTACTTTCGAAGTAATCAGCGAGATTAAAAATGAATGGAATTATTCAATCCATTAATATTTTTTGCAATTATAAATTTCCAAATCATGAAGCAGCAAATTATTAACATTTTTGCTCAGCATGTTCGACGTTTGGTGGCACAATTCAGAAATACTGGCAGTGTTTGTAAAGGAAAGTCATCTGGAAGAGTCAGTTTTAATTGAAGATGATCTGAAGGATGTTAGAGAGCGATTAGCAGCAAGCCCCACTAAACATTTACGGAAACTTTCAGCTCAGACGGGTAAATATTTATAAAATGTTAAATATCAGTATTTAAAAATATTAATTATAGGAATGTCATATGTTTCAGTACACTCGTTTCTAGCAACGTACTTATTTCAGAAGCACCCCTATAGAGCGGCGTGGGCTTCGTCCATGGATCGGACCACTTGTTTTTGTACATCTGTGTTATCTGAAATATATGAAAAAATACCCTTTCCAAAAATAGATGACACTTTAAAGAACAAGTTATTTCTCCAAAAGGAAGTTGACGTATTAATAATTAATATATTTTTATTATAAAGACAATAGCTGCACTACACTCTTTTATAACAATACATCCACCAATCACGTAGCAAAAATCATGNTTCGGGACAGACAGGGACAATTACTTTGTGTATAAATATAAATAATATTATCTTAGCGCTGATAACTGGCCACGGATATTAAAAAGTCTAAAAATAAAAGTGGTTTAATCTCCAGACAGTGCCTTCTTCATCAGCGAAATTTGCTTCGACTGGGTTGATTTGTAGTACATGTTATTCAAATTATACGATTTTATCGACATAGAGCTGTGCCTTGTGCTTACTGGCGAAGAGTAACCTACTAATCTGTAAGTACTACGAAAACACGACTTGTTCCGGACTTGGTAAAATAATTTTTGAGTAATAATATTATGGAAAACAACAACTCCACAGGCATCCCCAAACATAGACTAATTTCAAACTTATTTATTTTTATCAGTATGCCATAGGTGAAACAACCGACAAACAATTTAGCTCTTTGGATTAGTAGATCTTTCTGTGTTTAGTAAATACATAGCAATGCTCTGTGCCAATAGGCGTTAAATAACAGTGATATAAAAAATACGACGTATAGTTTGTAGTTTAAATGGTAGACATATTTTTTTTTTCGCCTGTTTCATACATCGCAACTATTTTGTATTGCTAGCAGGTCAACAAAAATCAATGCCTTGTCACATTGTCACATGTAAATGTTACCAAAGATATTAAAATTTACTTCCATTTGATCAAAATTACTTTCCGTTTTCTTAGATTTCCAACCGACACGAACTGTCAATTCAGAGAAGTTCGTGCTTCCCATGTGGACCAGTTGTTGTATTTATTTGTGTTCGCCGATTGCGTTTTTTTTTAATTTATCGTTAATTTTCTAAATAATCAGTGTTTTTCAGCGCTAATCATCTATGCTGTCAGTTGTGTAGTAAGAAAGCAAATACTGATGGTTTCTTCGATATAAAGTACTCGACCTGTTTTAGATTAGAAAATAGTCATTTCGTTAGAAGACCATAAATTTATTGTAGATGCCTACTTTTGAACGAAATGAAAATGGATGGAATTATTCAATCAATTCATGTTCTTTGCAATTCCAGTAAGTTTCCAAGTAATGAAACCTCAACATGTTCGACGTTTGGTGACACGATTCAGAAACACTGGCAGTGTTTGTAAAGGGAAATCTCTTGGAAGAAAGTCAGTTTTAACTGAAGATAAGCTGGAAAATGAGAGCATTTAACAGCAATCCCCACTATACCATTACAACTTTCAGCTCAGGCGGGTAAATACATGTTTATAAAATGTTAAATATCAGTATTTAAAAATATTAATTATAGGAATGTCATATGTTTCAGTAGACCATGTTTAAGCAACGCACTTATTTCAGAAGCACCCTGTATAGGGTGGCATGGGCTTCGTCCATGGATCAGACCACTTGTTTTTCTACGCCTGTAATATATGAAAAAAAATACCCTATCCCAAAATAGATGACACTTTAAAGAAAAACTTATTTCTTCAAAAAGAAAATTGACGTATTCATAATTAATATATTTTTATTACAAAGACGCTAGCTGCACTACACTCTTTTATAACAATACATCCACCAATCACGTAGCAAAAATCATGTCTCTCAACTCTGTAACGTCCTCTATCATCAGCTCCCTGTAAGCTTCGTTCGCTTCGAACCCTCTAACAATGTACCTTCCTCTATCTTCAAATAAATAATTTGCGAAAGTCTCTTCACTCTTAGCCGCGTCCTGGTGATCATCGTCTGACAAAAAGGTTATACACCTATCCACTACGGAATGAATTTTAGCCGGCACCGTGAAAGCTTTGCAAGATTTATAAAACTCAGTTTCACTTAGAACTTTCTCGGGTTGGAAACCGCGCGCCATCAGCAAAGAGCTAAAACACCGGTAGTAATGCTTTAGTAACTCAACCTGGTGTTGCTCCCGAAAACTTTTCCTCGTATTGGTAAGGACAAACTGGAGGACATCCAACGAAGGAGGTCCGTACTTTAAGGTTTGGAAATCGACCAAGGCGCAATCAGCAATTTCGTTGTTCTCGTACCGGAAAAGGAAGTTGTTAGACCACAAGTCGCCATGGAGTAGACTGGATCTGAACCCTGTTGAATTTTCTTGTGAAGCCATTATGGCGTCTAAAACGGCTTGAAGAGCAGTCTTAAAATCAGTTTTACTGATACCATTCTCGGGGATTAGATCTATAAGGAAGAAGAGTCCTTTTATGGAACATTTCATGAACCTGGTGGCGCCGTTTTCTTCTGCTGAAAACACTTTGTCTTCTAGGATCTCACTGAACTCGTCATTAAAACTGTAAATCTTTCCTAACTCGTCACTTGTAACTAGTTCGTAAAGAATTGGTTCGGCGTGGAATTTTGCTAAAGTTTCTAAACACTTTTTGCAATGCTCCAAGTCCAATGGCTTGTTCTTCGGAGTACACTTGAAAGAACGTTGCGCGACGTCTTCCAAAACAATAACAAAAGGTTCACTGAAGTAACTTTTCGGCACGTAACTACAACTAAGTCCTTTGGACTTCAGCAAGGGAACCACCGTTTCGTAATAAAAAGATTCCTTTTCGAAAGCGTAGATGTTCCTTGTTATTTCATACATGACCGGATTTGCCTCATTGAGTACTTTGAAGAAGAACTGAACAGTTTTGTCTTCATCTCTGACTTGGTAGTGTATCTTCAAGAAGTACTGCTCACACATGAGCCCATCGAGTTGAGACTGTAGTGGATTGATCCAATAACGCTTTATGCTAAATTCCCTGTTTCCTGTGTATTTTTCCAAGACTTTTTCGCACTGGGCTTTGCTTAGGATATTACACAACTCCATGTCTGAAACAAAAAGAACCTACTATAATAGGAGACAAAAACGGATACGAGATGAAATTTGTATTAGATATAAATTAGTGTATCCCTCAGATATATCTGGTACAGATTTTAGCAAATAAATTTTAAATTACCCAATTGCGCGATAGTTCCATCTAAAATGAGGATTACTACCCAACTGAGAGCAATGTTGTGAAATGGAATTGCTTTTATATCAAATAAAATACTCTCGGATTATAAAACGATATATCTTGTAGAGATAACAGGTTTGTATCTAGAATGAATTTTGTTTCACTTAAAGATTAACTCGTATAACTATTTGTTGCTTCCTCGAAACATTCCGCTGATAGCATAGCAAAAACAACTATTAACAAACGTTGTAAAATTACTAACTATTCATAATAAAGTAACTAAAAATATGTTTAAAAGATAAAATAGTGTTTTTCTACAGGACGCAACTCTTGATAAGTCCATGACATAATCAGAGATAATTATATTGAAGACATTGGTGAAGATAAGTTATCAAAACTGTACTTAAAACATAGGTATAAATATTGGAGAATATGAGTAAGTAAGCAATGTAGTACGTTGTGATTTATAAGGTAAATAGAAACATACAGGGTGTCCCTGTGCTAGTGTGAGGTTATTAAGAATTTTTGACAGAATACTACGAATATTTTTATGAAACTGAATATAAATACATAACTATCGTGACTATCGAGAGAGAGAGAATAATAATACTTTGCACTTTACCATACAAAATCGCAATTTTTGAAGCTTCGTATCGTTCAGTGTTTGTAAATAAGACTAAATAGTCGAGGAAGATGCTAGATAGGGCTAATAAATCCCGGTATCTGCACATATAGGAAGATAGATGGGAAAATAAACACAAAGCAATATCAAGCGATCGTGAGCCCACATTAACTTACACCCCGGAGTTATTAATTAGCGTTTAACGTGACTTTGCCCGGACCGATAAGCGACCGGATATTCCGGACTCCTAATCGCTGGGATAAATTCTATAATTCGATAAATAAACCCTTTATCTAGGAGCTAACTAGGGTATTTAGCGCAAAAGAGGGAAAACAAGGAGAGAAAAGTGAGCAATGTATGTATAGAAGACAAGTTTTGGAAATGGTTTACCGAATACAGTTTTCTGTTAATGTAAACTTAAAAAAATGTAATTTTGCATCATTTCGAAAAAAATAAATCTGCACATATTAAATTAACTAAAAAAAAATAATCAGCTTTTATTTGTTTACTAGGTATTAAAATAATTGAATGTTCGTTGTTTAAAGTGCATAAGTGTCACAAAATACTTGTCATTACTCAATACAAACGTCAAACGTTAACTTTTGTGTTTACAAAATGTTTTCTCATTCAGAAAAAGTTGGTAATGTTGCTATTTACGACGAGCCACAAAAAAATTAAGAACAGCTGTAGAGTTATATCATATCGAGAAAGATATCCAGAGCGCCTCATTCCTGATCCTAGAACGTTTACAAGATTGGAGGCGACCTTGCGACGAAATGAAGATGCATTTTCTGTTCAGAAAAATCAAATAATTGACCGAAGGTTAAGAAACAATGTTAATACAGCTAGACTGTTACAATATTTCGAACAAAATCCACAAACTTCTATACGGCACACTCGCTGGGAATTGAATTTGGATAAAACAGCAATTCAACGAATTTTAAAGACCAATGGGTATCATGACTACAAAATTCACAATTTGGAGTATTTGCCTGAGCGTCACATCGAAAACAGACTTAATTTTATAGCTCAAGTTGTAATAAGTGTAGAAACTGTTAATCAGAACCTTTTTCGGCAGGTTCTTTGGACGGACGAAAGTCGGTTTGTCAGTAATAATACAAGAAGTTCCTGCACTTCTGGAGAATGTGCCTTTACAGCTAAGGAGAAACCTACGGTTTCAGCACGACGCGGCTTCACCCCACAAGGCCAGGATTGTGCAGCAATATTTAGATAACACTTTCCCAGAAAAACGGAGTTGGCCTAATGGACCTATTCAGTGGCCCGGAAAGTCACCAGATCTAATACCCCTCGATTTTTTTATAGGGGGTTTTAAAAAATAACGTTTACAAAACACTTTTGCGAGATATTAATCATTTGAAAGGAAAAATCACAAACGGTTGTAATGAGTTAAACGACGAAATGTTAATAAACGCACCCCACATAGAAGATTGGATATGTATCTTGAAATGAGAAGAGGCCATTAGAGAATAGATTGTAATATGTATGTAGTATAAAAGCGTTTGCCTCATTCTCTGAGTTTAGTTATTGTTATCATCACCTTTTGTTTTAACTGTATTAAAGAATTATCAAGCTTAATCCTTTTATTTATTCTTAATGGCATTTATGCATTTTAAACAACGAACTTTCAATGATTTTCCAACGACTACTTGATCCTTTCACCGCTGTACGTTTGGGATAACTAATAAAAATAATCTGAATGCTAAATATAACTTTTAAAATCTATTTGCTAATCCAATGCCAATTTAACAATAATTTGTTACCAAGATAAGATTATCAGTTTTTAGATAATCATTCTCTCATTTCTCTTGACGAAATAACTTCCCATACGAAACAAAAATAATATTCTGAAGTCTGCTGATTTATACTTGTAATTACTAGTTACTGTACAAATTTAACTTACGTCCAAATTTTACTGTACTTTGCATTGAACGGTGTAAATTTATTTCTAGTTCATTCATTTTTTTGGAATTAAGGAAGATCGATACTACCCACCAGAATGTTCTGGGTTAATACGCTTAATAAATTAAAAATGGAAATTACGTTAATGTTAAATTAGTACCTACGCACTATCTAATAATGCAACTTAAATAGATATTGATATTAAGCTAATTCCGTAATTTCTCTGCGCCCTAAATAATTCAGGGAAAAAATATATAAGTAAACAGTAGCTGACATTTCCTTCCTAGAGACCAAAACTATATCGACAGTGGCATCAAATTAATACGTATTATTAAATTACAATGATGTTGGTGCTATTTTTATCATGTTTATTTTTCTAATAAAATTGTTTAAAGAAATTTGACACATTATTCGTCTTTATTCAACTGTATGTAAAATTAAGTTTGCTGTGGGTGAATTGATAACAAACCGTTGGTTGTCTGTTTTACAATATTCTGAAACAAAAATAAGCAAACAAGCAAAAATTAATGAGTATGTTAAGAGGGCTCTGTAGTAAATAGGCAACCAGCAATACATTTTTATAGATTTTATTACACATTTTGTCTAAATATGAATTAATGCACAAATGGCAGACTTTCTTCCATTCTACCGCAGATTCTCTATAAAATGGAGTTCGTTTTAAACTAAAATTTCTTTTTCTTGTAAAAAGTAATTTGAGTTTCAAACTAAGTCCATTTTATAGAAAATCTGCGTTAAAATGAGGGAAAGTCTGTTATTTGTGCATTAATTAATTCTTATTTAGAAAAATTGTGTAATGAAATCTATAAAAATGTATTGCTGGTTGCCTATCTGCTATAGAGCCCTTTTAATAAAATGGCGAAACAGAAAATCAATTACAAAAATTAACAAACGTTGTCACTGAACACATTGGTATCTTTAAAAAAAAAATGTTATTCAAAATAGAGATCGACAGAATTAAAAACAGAAGGAACACGAAAAATCAAAAGTGTGGTAAAAAATGCTAGTCGAGGAAAAATGAAATAGTTTTTGTATATATGATTGTAATTCCACTATCGAATTTATACAAAGTATACAGTCCGCACAATATTATTTGAGAGAGATTCCAAGAAAAGAATAAGCCAATGAAGTTCTGTTATCGGAACTACTGTAACAATTTTTTATTTTCTACCTCGGGTTTCGAATGCGGTTAATTCCAAGAAACTGACGCAGGGGTCTTCTTGATGGAACTGGAAGACCACTATATACGAATTTCACTCGAATCATGTCTCTCAAAAAATCTAGTAGTGTGGCCTACAACAAGTAGGACACCGTGTCCACCTAGTGCGCGTAAGTCCAATATCTAGGTTAATAAAAGATATAACTTAATTTTTTTCTACAGAGTTGCCTACTTTCTCGAGCTGCACAGAATGAAAATATTTGCATATACAGGGTGTTCAGTTTTTTCTGGGCAGGTACCAACTTCATTTTTTTAAATGGAAACCTAAATTTTTTATGGCATTATCGAATTCTACGTGAAAAATTAACGGGACTTTGTCCCGACTAAAATATTGATAGATTTCGAAATAATCGACTTTTCATTTTTTTTCTTATGTTTTGTCACTTCTAGTAGTTGACATAATTATGATTGTATGACTGCTAGAATTTTTTTTTTCCAGGAACTGTAGAGTGAAGATAGTCTTTCAAAAAACGTATCAAAAGTTGACCTGCGATATACAGGATATATATAAAAAAAATCGTGCCAAACCTAATAATTTAAAATTTCAAAAATCTCGACTTTTTCAATTAGAACACCCTGTGTTTTATGATTTTATTAGATGCCTTTCTGTAGACCCTACAATTTTTTAATAGCTTTCCCTATACCTAAGTTGCGTAGTTTTTGCAAAAAAAAACATTTTTATGTAAATACCGGATTTGCGTCCGTTCCTTTGTCGGAAAAAATATTGTAAGAGTATTTATTTAAGTTGGTATCTGCCCAGGAAAAATTGAACACCCTGTATGTGCAAATATATTTTCATTTTCTGCAGCTCGGGAAAGTAGGCAACTCTGTAGAAAAAAAATAATAAGTTATATCTTTTATTAACCTTAGATATTGGACTTGCGCGCACTAGGTGAACACGGTGTATAAGAGTATAAAAAAATATAGAAGTGTGCCATACTTGTTGTAGGTCATACTATATTTATTTTTCGGAATTGTAAATAATTTGGACATTTATGACTCTTCGTTAGTCCTTGAATTTCTAAACAAAACCAAGAAGGACCAGAGCTATAAATCTTCCGAAATAATTAATATATCCTCAAGGCATGTTACGAGGCTTAAATTTATACAACTGCTCCCTGATTTTACCACCCCCGTATCACTTACCCCGTACACTATATTAATAATTCATTCCAAAGTCGTATAAATTCCACGGGGATTACCACGACCCCCCAAAAATCGCATTATGTAAATCCACCAAGGTGTAACTGGAACCACCGCCTA